ATCTTCTAGGTTGGCGTCATTATGTGTTGTCAGTTTATTAAATTCGTGTTTGATGCAAAGTCAGTAATCGCACGTTTCGCTTCCCACGCAATGTTTATTCTACATATTTCGACAATTTGTTAAAGTTTAAAAATAAAGAACGAATTAATTCTCCATTGTGACAGGAATTAGAAGCAAAATGAGATGATTACGATTTCAATCTAACATTCCTTCCTTAAAAATAGAGATTATCCAACTTCAGAGGCAAATACTTTACCTTCGTCTGCGCCAGGCCTGTACATCATGCGGCCCCCGGAATCATTTTCCCTGGCCCAGGGACGATAGGCTCAACAGCGCCCGGTCCCCTGAAAAACCATCTTTAAAATGAATCTGGTTATTTTGAAATAATGGCAAATGAAATTGCACCTTTTCTTGCTTTTCTCGTTATTCTAAATGTATTTTGTTCTTGTAGTAAACGTGTTTAATATTAATTATTGACTACTTGCATTAAGGAAAATATGTATAGAAGTTACAACATAGAGAAATTCTCTTTGTATGTTTTATTTTTTTCAAACTAGAACAAACCGCTCCTTTCGTCTATCAAGGTCATTCGGCAAAAACGTGTAACTTCGGGGGGGTTGGTTGCGTTTTAAAATCTTGGGGAAGAAACTAAACTAACCCCCCCCCCCCCCGAATGGGCGTTAAAACACTTGACCAACCTTTAATTTCATTACATTACATTTCATTCCGCTACCTTCCTTCCATTGTATTTATTGCTTAAATATAATTTAAATGCAGAGACGTGTTTACGTCAGATTCTCCGGAACCGTGGTTCCACTGTCAATTTTTTCCATATTTCTACACTGAACTGGATAACTAAGTAGATGGTCCTCCAGCTTGGGGGTTGGGCGTAAGGCTAACAACCTTTCACCATAAAAAACATTGTTACGAACAAATTAACTAAGCCTCGGACGAGGACAGACTCTTCGGAACGGCCATGGCAATTGAACTGGATAACTATAGAATATTTTGTGATGTGTATTGAAATCATCTATTTGTTAAATCACAACAATGAGAAGCATTAATGTATAAAATTTAATTGTTAGGTCAGAGTTTTTGTTTGTATTGTTGTAGTGTATATTGCCGTCGTTACTGTGGAAACAACTAGGCTGTGAGTCGCTTGTAGCAGATGTGCGACGTAGACTAGATACTTTTGTGCTGTTAAAAATCTTTCAGAATAACTCAAGTACATATTTTATACGAATTATTAAGAAATTTGTGACACTTCCCCCTACTCTCTCCATTTTATTTTTGATTCAATTGCTTTACGCCAGTGGACATCCAGTTTTTTCCCTCTTGAAGAAAGGATTAGGTAATGATTTACTATCTATTATTATTACTATTGCCTATTATATTTACATGTCGTCATTTACATTTATGAGCTTTCGTAAGAAAATCAGGCCTGTCTTCTTTCTAACACAATTTCAATTAATACTAGATTGATTTCTGTTTGTTCACGGCATTGTTTATAGTAAAATAACATTCCGGTAAGCAATTAACATTTTAAAATTTTAAAGAGATAAAACGTGTTTAGTGTCCCAGAATCTTAATACAAATATATGATAGATAAGAATTGGGGTTTATATTCGGATTAATAATTCTAACACTTTACACTTCTCAATACATCGACATTTTTAAAACGTTTTAGGAAGCTATAAAAAAATTATTTCGATTTTATAAGACTAATTATCGAGAAATCTCCCTCTTATTACCTTCCTACAAAATTGTATCCAATATTCGTCTCCATATGCCAATGAAATTATTGGGGATCATCAGAGTGGGTTCCGTCGTGGTAGATCTACAACTGATCAGATGTTCTACATTCGCCAGATGCTAGAGAAAAATTGGGAGTACAACGGAGCAGTCCATTAGCTATTTGTATATTGACTTTAAGAAAACGCATGACTCAGTTAAAAAAAAAAGATAGTCAAGCAAATTAAATCGCGTTTAAGTGATACTATCAGTGCAATTCCCGCAGGTAAACATTTGTCTGGCACATTTCCTACTATTCAGAATGTCTTGAAGCAGGGAGAAAATCTATCGCCGCTGGCTTTCAATTTGCCTTAGAATATGCCATCAGGAAAGTCCAAGGAAATTATGGCGATTTGGAATTGAATGGGACACATCAGCTTCCCTTTTTTCTTCAAATAATGTTTTTCACTGAATTCTTGACCTAAGCTCCATCGTTTGCTCTGCGAAACCATTAACACTATCGGGGATTTCAGTCAAGTCACACAGAAATGGGTTTACAATCCACTGATATACAGACCTTTCTAGTTCAGGAAAGTATTCCTTGAAACGCAAAGATAGTTTTGATCGCGGCAAAAATGATTGATTCTAATAACAAGCGCGTGGCGTATTTATTAAACAGCAAATAAATACTTGGTAGACTGTTTTAGAGTATCGGTGCACAATAACTGATCGCTTTCTTAAGAGTACTTCTTCAACACTTTTACGGTAAATTTTAATCTGTATTCCGAGGTGTGTCGTTACCCAAAGAAAAACCACTTTTACCCCTTTTTTGGGTAATTTATCCAGGTTTGGGAAGCACTGATAGTGTCTGCATTTAAAGTGTTGAGTTTTTCAGTTCACTGGAGAAGTTGTGTTTGTTCCCATGACTGCATTGGGCTATGACTTGTGAATGATGCGGCAGGAAACTTCGTGGCCTATTTTAAGACACCCCATTATGTCCCTGGAGTGACTTAGACGCGCACTTCATGCTCAAAAATTCCTACTGAACAGACGACATGTACTGACTCGCCCGTTGAGTAGCCCGGAGTGTGGGTGGCCGGGTATCGAATTCCTGTTTCTCTGCGGGGTGTCCATTCGGCGAGTTGGCACATCCGGTCTTCTTGCCTTTTGCTTCAAAACAATTTCTTATCGCCTATCCCTTATCCTTCCGGGCTAAGTTGTGGCAAGACCGACAGCCTTCATTCATTTGTCTGACGACAGGGAGTGTCCCTAATCTCCCACTGCTTTGCTGATTCGACATTAAACTGAAATTCCTGCAGAACATAATCATCCGGTTACGTTGTCACGTATTATATTAGTACCGTTGGTTTTAGGTTTCTTTATTCGAGTAGCCAACTTCGAATTCTATCCTCCCATTCAAAATGGCACACGAAAATTAAACTCGGCATGAGATGTGCGCCAGTAGAGGTCTCTCTTGTCAGCCAGCACCAGCGCCAGCATGGCGGCCTTGCGAAGTAACAACACGACAGGAAGTGAATGTTGAGCCCTGCAGGTAAAACACAGGACCTTCATTGTAACTTGTATCAGAATGAACGGATTACTGTCAAGATAAGTCATCTTGTGTAAGTGGGTCACTTCTCGCCACTGCACGGCGCGTCCTTGGGTTGCGGACAGAGATGCCACCAGCTGGAAAAGGGTGTTACTTTAACATGTGGGTTGGCTAGGGACAGATAGCCTCTCGTCGTAAAAAATAAATAGCGTTTTACGAAATGCCACATTGGGGTGTGAAAGTTGGTATCGAGGGCGTTGAGGAGAATATTTTGGCATAACAATGACAGGAGACCGGAAATATTAACTCAAAAGAGGAGATTCATAATGCCCACTCTTCACTTAACACGATTAGAGTGAGGAATTGTAAGATGGGTGTTAAAATCATTATCGCTTGCCTACAAAATTTTATCCAACACCCTTCTCTCGAGGTTGAGTCCATATGCCAGTGAAATTATTGGGGATCATCAATGTGGGTCCTTAGAATATGCCATCAGGAATGTCCAAGAAAATTAGGGCGGTTTGGAATTGAATATGACACATCAGCTTTTGGTCTGTGATGATGATATTAATCTGTTGAGCGATAATATGAATATTATAAAAGCTAACGCAGAGAAACTCTTCAGGCCTAGAAAGGATATTGGTCTAGATATAAATACAAAAGAACGCGGAGAAACTCGTCAGGCCTAGAAGGGATATTGGTCTAGATATAAATACAAAAAAGATAATATACATGATAATGTCTCGGCATCAGAATTCAGGACAGAACCAGAATAAAAGGATAGGTCCTTCGAAAATTTGACAAAATTCAAGTACTTTGGGAACGACACTAACAAGTCAGAATGACATTCATGACGAAATCAAGAGCAGATTAAATCCAGGGAATGCTTGCTATCATTCAGTCTAAGAACTTTCGTCCTCCAGTCTCATATAAAGAAATCTGAAGATTAAAATATACCGAAGTGTAACTATGTCACTTGTGCTGTATGGGTGCAAAACTTGGTCTCTCACTTTCAGGGAGAAACATGGACTGAGGGTCTTTGAGAACAGAGTGTTGAGGAATATACATTTACCCAAAAAGTGAGTGAGAAAACTGCATTATGATTAGCTTCACGGCCTGTACTCCTCACTTGATATTGTTAGGGTGATTAAATCAAGAGGATGAGGTGGGCTGGACATGCGGCACGCATGGGGGAGGGGAGGGATATTACAGGGTATTGGTTTGGAGGCCTGATGGGAGAAGACCGGTGGGTAGACCTTGGCGTAGGTGGGAGGACAAAGTTAAGATGGATCTTAGGGAAATAGGAAATTTTTGGAGCGAACTGGATGTAGCTGGCTCAGTCCGGTGACGGGCTTTTGTGAACACGGTGATGAGCCTTCGGGTTCCAGAACGAAAGTGAACTATACTTTGACAAGCCTAGAATGCAATCGAGTTTTCACAAAATATCGTGCACTTTACAGTGTATGTGTAACGTGATGTACGCCTAATCTGCGTATGCTGTAGAATAACGTACAGCTTTTACGACTGTTTCCAACTGTCAATCTCACGTGCATTTGATGAATTTAAATTACATATTGCGCTTGTAGTGTATAAAAATGCGTAACATAGGCAGGAAAGTCACAAATCATCAAACTCTTAAGCACTTTTAATTCTGCAGAGAGAGAGGAACTCACAATTTTTATGGTTATGAAATTGCGTAACCTTCTTTTTCCAAAACTTACCTGTTAAATGTCTGCTTCTGCATCAAAGGTCACAATTTCTATCGCATATATTTGTCACAATTTTTAGAAATCGGTTCACCAGAGAAGAAGCATCTAAGTCTTTATAGATTACATTGCTATTTTATGTTTAACGTCTACGTAGTTTACATATCAGAAGACTGAACCTTATCTGAGAAATGACAAACACGCGGCATTAATTAATATTGCCTTTATCAGTCACACTTACAGTTTTGTCATTTTGTGTTGAATCTTAACAAAAATTTCTGTAACTAAGAAACAAACTGACTCCATGCAACCGAAATCCTGCTTGAGAATCTAACAGTAGCCCAGGTGATCAAATGTCTCGCCTTTTATGAAACATGAAGTTTCATTTCCGTGTTTGCAAGTCCATGACTCTAAACCATACCCTCAAGCACGGGAAGTAAATCCACACCTTCATTTCCTACTTCACTAAGATCCATTTTAATATTACCCTACCAACTCATATGACTCTCAAGTGGCCTCTTCCTGTCAGGTTTTCCAATTATAGTGTTGTATTTCTTATAATTATTCATTGTCAGGACTTTTTCCATCGTCTTTTCTTTAAAAACCCCCAACGTTTTTACGCTGGTTCTGTGTTCTCTCTCAGGCGAGAGGTCCCTACTCTGTTAGGTCCCTCTGACAGTGACAGAGACTAGCTCTATCCAATTGACCAAACGGAGTAGGTACCTCTCACATGAAGGCGGAGACAGAACCAGACTCCGAAACGTCGTGGTTTTTTTTAAAAAACACGATTTAAAAAGTTGTGACAATAAATAACTTTAAGTGTAATCTACCGTCGTGAGAACCCTTTAGATTTGAATTGAATTTTTTCTCTCTCTGCTATGTGTACTACATGCCCCGCCATCTCATCATTCTTGATCTGATCAGCCTAAGATTTATTATTTAGTGAGGAGACCTGTAAAGCTCCATATTATGCATTTTTCACCATTCTCTTGGCAGTCACGCTCTCGCAGGACCAAATATTCTTCTTAGTGCCGTTACCCCTCTGTCACTCTCAGCTGATGTGCACACGTGTCAGTATGAAGAAAAACCTGGACTGTTTTTCAGGAGATGGAGTTAAACCAACATCGCAGCTGTTCTCAACATGGCGGCAGGTGCATGATCGCCGAAGTATTGGTCTCTCAGAATGAGTTGAGGGAAGAGAACCTTCTATGTGACGCCGTGTTGAGATTGGAAGATGGCGGCGTTTTTCCTGTCCACAGAGTGATTCTCTCGACGTGTAGCGCATATTTCAGGTTTGTTTATTTACTGACGTGGTTGATTAACATATGAAAAAAGGACAAAATAGGACTTTAAGTCATAATAGATGTCAATTAGTGTGCGAAATGCTGTATCCTCTTTGTTGCAGAAAACTGTATTTTTATGTGGGTATTTACGTTTTGTTATTTATTTATGGCCATGGCGGTGAATAAGAAGATGACTGTCTTCTGGACTTTGCCCCATAATAATTGAGTGGCATTTCAGACTTACTGCCTTCTTTCCTTGATAGACGACGCAGTAAGCACCCCTGAAACTCCCGATAATTTTTTTACGAGACTATACGA